TGCGGTGGCTGGGAGCGGCCACTGCACTCCAGTCTGGGCGACAGAGTGAGACTCCAACTCAAAAAAAAAAAAGAAAAATAAGTTATATTATTAATGTTTCAGATTCTCACTCATAAAACTTATTTATCATATTATAACAGGATTTGCCCCAAAGGCCATTCCAGGGCACTTTTCAATAAAGGACTCCTGAAAAGTTTAGATACAGAACTCCTAGTTAATTACTTTTCAAACACTGCCCCCTCCTGTCTAATAACTTGGATGTGCCTTAAAACTGTCAAGTTCAACAGGGTACGGTGGCTCAATGCCTATTATCCCAGCACTTTGGGAGGCAGAGGCGAGAGGATTGCCTGAGCCCAGGGGTTCGAGACCAGCCTGGGCAACTTGGTGAGACCTCACCTCTACAATAATATAAAAAAATTAGCCAGGCTTTGTGGTGTGTGCCTGTAGTTTCAGCTGCTTGGAAGGCTGAGGCAGAAGAGACCCAGCAAGTTGAAGCTGCAGTAGCCATGATCGTACCCCCGCACTCCAGCCTGGGTGACAGAGCAAGACTCCAACTCAAAACAAAAACAAAAACACTTCAATTGCTTTTCGACACCCAGAGGGAAAAACCACTACTTCTGGGCCTCAATTACATATTCCAATTACACACACCACTCTGTAAATAAAAGCCTCAAGTGTTACGCACTACTATGTTTTCAGTGATCTCTAGGAGTGTAATTCAAGGGAAGGAGGTGCAGATGGTGGAATCAAGTGTCTGTGCATCCTGAATGCTTAAAGATAAGCACACACCACTTTCTTTATTAATTTATATTTGAATAAATTTCTATGCTAGTATTTTAAAAGAAGGATACCAACTGACATTATAAGATAGCAACGATCTCAACCCTTTGTGTACTTGGAGATGTCTCACGGGTCACCTACCAGCAACTCAACAGCAAATTCTTAAGACATCATGAGAGACCGGGCACGGTGGCTCAGCCTGTCATCCCAGCACTTTGGGAGGGCGAGGTGAGAGGACTGCCTGAGCCCACAGGTTCGAGAACAGCCCGAGCAACTTGGCAAGACCTTATCTCTACAATAAATCAAAAAATTAGCTGGACACAGTGATGCATGCCAGTAGTTCCACCTACTTGGGAAGGCTGAAGCAGAAGGAATCACCTGAGCCCAGCAGGTCGAGGCTGCAGTGGCTGTGAGCAGGCCCCTGCACTCCAGCTTGGGTGATGGAGTGAGACTGACTCAAAAAAAAAAAAAAAAGAAAAGAAAAAGAAATCGTGAAAAACTAATCACTTTCTATTACGTCATACAGCGATAGAACTAGCTGTTTTACTGCAATAATATTTGGCTTAAAATGGAATGTTGGACATTGAGGAACTTGTTTATAACAAAAAATCAAAATCTTCTATTTTTCTGACATGTGGCGATGTTTAACAGTCACTAATATGCATCACAGGTACATTGATATATGCTGTGCAATAGTCATTTGTCGGCTGTCTTCCACCCAGTGTTTTTCTATTGAAGCAGACAATGCAGTCTCGCTTCCTTCCTCCTACATTAATAACATGTAATTTACTGTCCAGTCTGCTGTCTGAAGAAGATGTGGAAGGATGCACTCATGATTCCTGGAAGCCACTTCTCAACTGATCGACATCCCAGTATATGTTCCATCTCTTTATTTGCTTTTTCGTGCAATTTGAATGGAAAACTTCAAGGAAACATACAGTTTTGAAAAATCTGCGCTTGCGTAAGTTTGTCCTGTATAATCACCAGCAATCTTTTTATGTCCCAAGAGGGACATCCGAGTGCAAAGGGTTAAAGTTTAACATAACTGCGCACACAGTTGATCTCAGCCCGTGTTTACAGGGTAGATGACAAGGTGTGGCAAACTTCTGTAAAGAGCTAGATGGCAAGCATTTCTGGTTTTTCGGGTCACAGCTAGTCTCCACTGAATTTGGCCTGCAGGCCAGGCCTGCTGACCCCTAGTCTGTGACTACTACACAACCTACCACTGAGGCGCCCCCCCACCACCACTCCCTGCCCCACCGGCAGGGGGACGTGAGGCCCTGTCAAAAACAGAAATAAGGCAGCGCCAACAATGTGCAACTACTCCAGTCAACTGAGCCACTTTCTTTTGAAATCTATCACCAGAATTTCCAACATTTACTAAATATACGTCACAAAAAGTCACTCTCCTAATCACAACTATATAAAGAAATGGCCCACGGCTCCAAAACCTCGTGTTCTCACAAAGAATGTATGCAGTCACACGGAGGAAGAATCCTTTCAAAACAATCTAACTCAACAGCGACAAAATGCAAAGAATAACAAGGTCAGAGCACGACAGAACAGCACACCAGGGAAAGAGAAACCAACTTCCAACCTGAAAAACACTTACCCATTCAGCACGTGTTCAAAAAGATGGACCTGACCATCTCTGCAGACAACAGCCAGCTTGACAGGCTAGAAGAAAAACATAATCAATTATAATGGATAATAAGCTTCACCCCAATCTAACTTGTGAAAACTCAACTTTCCTCCTCACCCTTTAAATAACCAGAAAAAAAGTTAAAAAACAATTACCCCTGTCACACACACAAAAAAATTAGTGGTGGTGTCACGATTCTCAATAAAGGTTTAGGCCAAGAAGGTAACACAGTCAAGAATCCAGCCTCGGAATGAGAAAAGTTCCAGCCTGGGACGGACAGGCCCCTCCACACAGAGCAGTCAGGACTGTGGAGAGTACTCTGCCTGGCCACCAGGAAGCTGAGGGTGGTGCCCAAGCTTCATGGCTGCTCTTCCCGGTGCTACTGTCAAAGCTGGCAGCCTAGGAGTCCAGACGCTCCTCCCCATCAAACTCCTGCTATCAGCCTCTCTCACTTTTCAATTCTGGAACTTACTTAGAGAAAGCTTACATGAACACTTACCACTTTCAAAATGCTGATATCTATACTCTAGTTATAAATGTAATGATGGGAGAATTCCAGAGTAGCCAAAATACTGAGAGAAAAATGAAGCCTGCAAAATGTTTCAGGACTAGCTTTGCTACTTGAAAAATATGTACAACAGTGATATATCAATTTAAAAAGAAAAAAAAGACTAACTTTGTACTGTCAAAGTATCTTCAATGTTTTCAGTCATTTATTGGTGTACTTAAAGATACAAATTTCTAGAAAGGAGGGGTGTTATGAAAGAAAATTCCCTTCCTTCTGGGGTTTAGCAGCACATGGAAGCTGTCAGGGAACACAGTTTCTCCCCCTGAAATTTTCTAGCTCTTCCTTCCACAACTCCTGCTGACAGAGATCAAAATATAATCCCAAACTGCCTAGAGAAGCTGGTACCTTATACGCAGAGTATTCTGCAACGCCATCAGGCTTTGCCTTGGACATTTAATTCTAACTCATCGTTGTAACTATAATTGTCTATCAAGTGCCAGAATGACAACATGGCTTCCCGATCCATCACTTTTACAAAACAGCACAGTTCCTTCCTTTATGATTGATACTTTTAACTACAGCATCAATGTTATTCCAAGATAAACTCTGAATTAAGCATAAAATTAAATCTAGAAATAGCAACAGAATTCAGTCAGAAAAAGAGAAAGCAAAAACTCGGTCCACTCTATGGAGACTGAGGCCAGGCTTTACTTCTCCAAAGTTAGTAAAAGGAGGTGGTTTTTCTTTTGAAAATCACTTGCATTTAGAGAACCCACCTCTAAAAGTCACACACACAATAAGTCATTAGCCTTTTAGAAAGCCACCTCAAGTCAACAGTTACAGGGACAAGCACCAAAATGTTTGTTTCACCAGTGTCCTGCGATCATGAAACTTCCAGCCATCATGAAACAATTAACGCACCCATCACACAACACACAAAAGCCTGCCCAAGCAACCAATTCCATAAAGCACTACAATGTGGCAAAGTGTAGGATTCCTACTAGCGCTTTCTAACAGACTTGACTTCTGTATCTTACACCATGTCCTGACCTGAACAAAAATCCCTATAGGGAGTAACTGACACAGATACCGGCCACTTTACATGAGAAAGCCAAGTCTGTTAGCGGCACAATCAGTATCTAAACCAAAATCTTGATTTGTTTTTTACCGTAGCACTTTTTAAAAATATTAAAATATGATGAAAATCTAGCAAATCATCTCTAAGTCCCAGGTTTTTGCAACATGTGCACTTCAGCCTGTGTTAAAAGTGAAATAAACTCAGCTCTCATTGAAAAAGCACGAGTCTGTCTACATCAAAATCCTACAACACTGTAGTTAAACAGAAACAAAATACTTCAATGACAATGGTTTTCTTCAATCCCGAAGATGTGCTATTATCATCAAATTCCTAATTTTAACATGAAAAATTCTTTTTTATTAAGCAGTGAACAAAAGGTCACAGCTCTTAAAACAAAATACACCATAGGCACTACAAGGACTAAAGAAAGACATCTAACAGAGGACTCCCGTAGGTATATATGCCTGTTAATAACAAAATCCATCTCAGTGACTCTTACTAATTCACCTAAGAAACGACAGAAGACACCAGCTTTGAGCACAACGCCTCCCCTCCACTGGCAAGAGCTTTTCACCGAGACTCAACAGTTACTTGGACTACCCCGGACCCACTGCTACCTTCCACTGCCACTCCTTCACATGCCCTCCTTCCAGAGCATCTAACCCTCCAAATCACATCTGTGAAATCAAAAACAAATTCTCAAAACGGAGCCATTTACCTCTTCTTTGCTTCCTGACAAAGTCACGTCAACATAGACAGGCTCGTCCGTAACCGTGAAAGACATCACCGCATTTTTCTCTTTGCTCTCTGACCGGACCTGCCTGGTAACAAAACCAGTGGTTAGATATACAAGGCAGATCTGATTTTTTTCAGCTGAGTGCAGGGGGTTGGGGAGCAGAGCACAAGATTCCCAGCAGCTTCTCCATCTTCTGAAAACTCACTAGGTGACTGAAGAAAGAAAGAAGGGACACACTCATGTCACTACCACATAACATGGATGCTTGAGAAAAGAGGAAGCTACAGCTGTGGCAGACTTGAACAATGAGCAATCAGCCCTCCGACTTTTGGACTTTTTCAAAATTATTTCGGCTCTTCTAAGTCCTTTGTGTTTCCACTTGAATTTTTAGGATGAGTTTGCTAATTACCTGCTAGGATTTTGACTGGGTTTGCATTGAATCTCTAGACCAGTGCGGGAAGAAATAACACAACACTGAGAAAACGGTTTAGAAAAAGAGAGGAGGGGGGGCGGAAGGAGAGAGAGAGACAGAGACAGACACAGACACAGACACAACACACACACACACACAGGCTCCTCACGATTCATGGATTCCTTATGTGAATCCACCTACGTGCACAATTTTGTTTGTAACCCCCAAATCACTGTTTGTGGCACTTTTATGCCCATTCAGTTACATGCAGACCAAGGAAGATGTTGAGTTGCCTGACACTCACAATGTTCCCAGCTGGCGACGAGCTCGGCTGCACTCTGCCTACGTACCTCAGTTCTCATCCTACAACAAATGGTCTATTTAGTGCCATGTTTTTTGCATTTCTGTGCTTTTCACTGTGATTTTGTTGGTGATTTGTTTAAAATGGTCCCCAAGCACAGTGCTGTCTACTGTGCCTAAGTGCAAGAAGGCCGTGATGTGCCTTACAAAAATGTTAAAAATGTTACGTTAGAAAGCTTCATTCAGGCATGAGTTACAGTGCTAACAAGCTTCCTTCAGGCATGAATTATAGTGCTGGGAGCCCAAAGTTAATGAATCAAAAGAAATATATTAACCCTCTGCACTCAGACGTTCCTCTCAGGACATCATAAATTTAGCAAACCACTTGGAGGTCCCCTCTCAGGAGACACAAAAAGATTACCAGTGATTATACAGGACAAACTTATACCAGCAACGGTCAGCAACAAAACAGCTGATGACTTTCACCTCTAAGTGAGCATTACCGTGTATAAATTCAGCCCGACTGTATGGTCAAGAGCAAGTTCACCTAATTATTACTAGGATAAGAAACTATCTCCATTTTCAAATCTACTTAACATAAATGGCAAGTTAAAAAAAGTCAACTTCACCCTCAGATGCTGCCATAAACTCTAGGAGATGTCTTCAATTTCTTTAAAAACATGTATTTTGGGCCGGGCACAGCAGCTCACATCTGTAATCCCAACAGTTTGGGAGGCAGAGGTAAGAGGACTGCCTGAGCCCAGGGGTTCTAGACTAGCCTGGGCAACCTGGTGAGACCCTTTCTCTACAATTAAAAAAAAAAAAATTGGCCAGGTTCAGTGGCTCAGCTTGTAATCCCGGGCTTTGGGAGGCCGAGGTGAGTGGATTGTCTGAGCCCGCAGGGTCGAGACCCGCCTGGGCAACTTGGCAAGACCTCATCTCTACAATAAATCAAAAAATTAGCCGGGTGTGGTAGCGCATATCTGTAGTTTCAGCTACTTGGAAGGCTGAGGCGGAAGGATCGCCAGAGCCCAGCAGGCCGAGGCTGCGGTGGCCAAGGAGCAGCCACTGCACTCCAGTCTGGGCGACGGAGTAAGACTCCAACTCAAAAAAAAAAAAATCAGCTGGGTTTCCCAGCTTGGGACTTGGGAGGCTGAAGCAGAAGGATCACCTGAGCCCAGTAAGGTGAGGCTGCAGTAGCCCAAAGTGTGCCACTACCCTCCAGCCTGAGAGACAGAACAAGACTCTGACTCAAAAAATAGATAAATAAATAAGCAACTTTTTTTTTTCAAACAGGGTCTTGCTCTGTCACTCAAGCTGGAGGCAATGGTGCGATCATAGCTTCCTGCAGCCTCGAACTCCTGGGCTCAAGTGTTCCTCCTGCCTCCCAAGTAGCTGGGACTACAGGTGCTTGCCACGGCACCAGCCTATGGTCACTTTTAAAGCAGTTTTAAAGGGCATTAGTAAGTGCCAACTACAGCAAAAATGGGCACCTGGGAATTCTCAGACATAGCCACAGAACTGTCTATCCTCAGTGAATAGACATGACTGGTGGCACCATCTATTTCAATAAAATCAAGGGTCCTCCTAAATTTCTGAAGTTATTTCTAAATCGCCCAGCCACAAAAATATCCAGTCCACTGTGCCTCTAGACAAGCACAGAGGGGGCCCTATTTCCTAACAGTCTATAATTTTTTGTAGTGACCTGTCTTCAGGCAGGCTCAGTTCTCATCACAAGTCAACATAAATCCAACATTAACTACAACAAGTGAAGTCCCTTGTCATCATTTATGTCAACCACGTGGCCAGTGACAGATTCCCGAGGCCACCCTAGCTCAAAAGAACCACGTACCAGACATTAAGCAGCCGGTCGTGCACTGCTCCAGACAGGAAGTAGAGGCCCGTGATTCCATCGAAGGGCTGGCTCTCGTTGGGAGGCCTCACGGTAGTGAACCTCAGGGATGAAACCGGCGTCGCATGCCCTGTGAAGTGCTGGGAGAAGGAACATCTCAGTGAGGAGAGGATGGACTTGAAACCAGCAGCAAACCCCAGTCGGCACGCACCACAAACGAGTCACATGCGACGCACGCCTGAAAGCAGGAGCCCTGCCCAGTGCAGTCCAACGTCACTGTAAGCAAAGGGGGGCATCTGCGTGACACCCCCACCGAGAAAGCCCACCTGAACAAATTAAAATCGAGCTGTTCCTTTTAACTCACATGACCTCGCCATTCCACACTTCCATGTCTTCAATTTGTGAATGAAAGGCTCCCTTAATTCCCTCCACTTTCCAAGGGGTGCTTGGGTGCTCAGACACAGCCAAGGAATTGTAGGTCCTCATTTTGCTCTCAGTGAGTCGAAACCACAATTGTAAGGCATCATCACAGCACCACGTGCCCAGCGACCCCTGAGCGAGACCGCTCTTCCTCCTCCCAACATGGAACGCTCACTCTCTGCTTAGTCGCCGAGTGGGCCGGAGACAGACGCGGGCTGGAAACCAGCATCCCCGCCACCACACCCAGAGTAAAGGGTGTTTATAATCAAAACTTTTAAGTATTTGCTGTATTCATCTTTCCAGTACACGTGAAGTTGATCTGCCTAGCCTATTTAAAGATGGCAAACCAGAAGGCTAACTTTCGCCCGCTAATTCTACTACCTAATGTGCTTGAAAAGAGTCTGTGGTCTTAGTCCCGCATGGCTCAACCGCCTGCCTCAGCCCACACTTTCTCTGAGACTTCCATGCCTACAAAGAACCCGATCCACTCACTCTGTAGACTTCTTTGGTCTCCAAAACCCACAGTTTGATTGTCCGACCAGCTGAGAGCAGCATCTTTCCGTCGGGGCTGAGACACAGGGCACTGACGCTGCTGTTGTCGCCTTTCCACTTGCTGTGTCGTGAAGAGAACAGAGGCATCTCACAAACAGGAGAAAACGACTCAGAGAAGAAGATCACCAACACCAAGGCAAGTGCATTCCCTAAGCGCTGTCAGGTACCAGCCTGGATACGCCTCGCCGGCGCCTCCCTCAGGAGGCTCCCGATGCAGCCCGCATGGACGAAGGCAGGAGATACCAGGTGACGTGTGGCTCAGTTATAAGACGTGGTGCATCCTGTGCCCCGAGATGGACTTTGTTGGCATCAGCAAAGTGCCACACTGGCTGGGCAACCCCAAGGCCATCCTGTCTCTCCCTGCTTTCTTGGGGAAGCTCCCTTTAATTCCAGCAGCAACAGAGACGCTTTCTGGTTCGTTCTCAATGCTTCAAATGCAATCAGAAGCATGCGTCTCCGCAGCTCGTCACACATATTAATGCTGCTCAAGGCAACAGAGAGATTGGCTATTTGCTTATAAAACCAAGAAATAACAGCAGAAATCTTATCATCAAGAGGTTAATTCTAAAGTGGAAAAAGTGTATCATCTACCATTTTAACTGAAGCATGTCAAATTAGTCATTTGGAAAAACAAAATTAAATCCCTATGTTATACCATATACGTGCGAAAATTACTTACTGGTTAAATTTTAAAGTGTTAGAAGTGTTTTTATGATCCTGGGGTTGGGAAATGCCTTCCAAAGCAATTACCAGCAACCATAAAGGGGGAAAAAAAACTTGATTTAATTACATAAACTTCTGTGCCACAAAATAAGTTATAAAATTAAAATGTAAGAAGTTAGGAGACGTATCAAAAACACATGTAACAAAGGATTAATACCTGGAATACATAAATAGCTCTTTCATATCAAGAAAGAGAACTCAAAAAGAAAGCAAAGGATAGAAACAGGCAATCATGGGAGAAAAACAAACAGGGAAAAACAGGAAACATTCAGCCCTACTAGTGAGCACAGAAATGCCCCAACACCGTAGGAGAGAACCTGCCCTCTACCTTTACCAGCTGCTACAAGGCCTGTCAATTTCCCATCCGTTCCCAGCCTTAGCGCTCATGCATATTCATCACTCTACATGTGCTCCCAAAGTACATTCATACAAGAGATGTGCTTGCCACTCTGCCTCCAGGAAGCTGTCCAGCGCACTGAGCCCCCACTCAAGGCACCCTGGCAGAGGACAATCCCTGTCTGCGTCTCCCACACCCTTCTCTAAGAGCTTTGCAACCCCAAACACAGCCAGCGCCACCCAGAAGCCTGTGAGACTCACACTTAAGCTCCACCCCTAGGCCTGCTCAATCTGATCCACGGGCCCAAGTAAGAGACACACACAGAGAGGCTTAAAAGTCGCTGGATCAGAAGACCCCTACCTGGAAACGCGACTGGCTCCAGTGGAAGGACCATGCACGCTAACATCTGCAGGCTTCCTGATCACTCTATAAATGAAGCTCAGCCCCAAAGGCATGGCTGTTTAATGCTTCACTTTCAAACAGCAACAGGCAACCAAGATCTCCAGCAATTTGAAGAACATCTTCAATGCAAAAGACAGAGACCAACTCAAACAAATAAAAACGCTCTCAATAGAGATGATATAAGGAAAAAAAGAGAAAAATTCCAGTATTTATTATCTTTGGAGATCTGGAAAAGAACATGATGTAACAAAAAGAAATAGAAAGCAAAAAAATAGTTCCCGGAAGGTAAAAACATGATAGAAAGTTTAAAATTCACTAAAAAGCTAAGTGTGGTGACTCATGCCTGTAATCCCAGAACTTTGGGAGGCTGAGGCAGAAGATTGCTTGAGACCAGGAGTTCGAAATCAGCCTGAGCAACATAGCAAGACCCTGTCTCTACAAAAAGTAAAATAAAATGCTAAAATAAAGAAATAAAATTCACTGAAAAATGCAGTTGAGAATACCACACAGGTAACAGAAGATAAAGACAAAACAGAAAATATGAGAGAAAAAAGTCAGAGATTCAAAGAATCAGTCCGGGAACTGTAAGATTTAGATAACAGTATGCAGTACTAGAGAAAGATAAGGAAAAAAATGGAGGACAAACCGATTTATTATCACATAAATAGTACAAGAAAAACGAGAACATGAATTTCCAGGCTAAAAGATCCTATACAAGTGACAATGTAATTCATTCATTTTTAAAAAGCACAAAAAATTTTAGAATACTAAAGACAACACTAAAAAGTTGTTTAAAAATGGAACAATGCCTTCCAAATTACTGAAGCAAAATTATTTCCACGCTAAAGCTCTATATTCTCAGACTATCAACCACTGAGGATGGAATTAAAGACATCAGTAAACCAGTGAAATTTCTCCTGCATCTTTTTCAGGAAGTACAGACAAGCATGCTCACCAGAGGAGGGACCAACCAATAAAGAGAAAATGGACTCAGAAATCAGAGGTTCCCTTTGACAAGAGGAGGTCTTTAGGGTGGTGGTAAGAGGAAATCCTGGGATACGCATGGTTCAGGGGCATGGTTCAGGAGAACTCGGAAGACAGAGTCCTCCAAGGAACAATGCAATTAACTAACCAATATGTTAAAAACACCAAGAAGAATTACACCACTAGTTCAGTGAAAATGAACTAATACTAACTATATACAAAACTAAAGTGAAAAATGATGCAATAAGATCCCAAAAAAGCAAAAATTTTGTCCATACACACATACACACACACACAGGATACCCTAAGGTTCAGTTCCAACACTATTTAAGTATCCTAACATAAACAACAAACACTGCTTCATCAAAAACTGGGATGCAATAGTCCTGGGAGAACTGGGTGAGGAAAGGAACACAACCAGCGCTAAGCCCTCTCTTCCACAGCAGGAAATCAACAGGCAGATCCAAGACAGAAAACCAGCCTGGGAAGTGCAGAAGGCTGTGGCTGAGGGCTGAAACCCAGGGGCTTCAGGGACCAGTGGGGCAGGTGGGCGGCCAGACTCGCCTTCCACCTGTCCAGCAACTGTACACATGGTAGAGTCCGCCATGCAGGGCTGAGACAGCGTGGCCCAGTGGGCACTGTGTGGCCAGCACCAACAGTAAGGCCCATCTCTGTGGACTCTCAGACCTCCGGGTAGGAACCTCTGCGGGCATTTCCACCAGGTGGCCAGTGTGGACACCATGTCTGTGCAGGGGAATGGAGGGCGGGCTCCAAACCTCCATGGGGACCCACCTGCATCTCTGCCAGCCCCTTCAGCCCTAAGCTCTGGCCCACCCAGCTGCTGGGGCTTATCCTCCCGCACTGCAGCTTCCAACGCAGCTTGTCCACACAACCAACAGCCACACCCCGCCTGCCACAACCACTTCCACTGGCCGGAGGGCCTTCCCGCCCTCTGCCATGCCTCCCCAGCACCCCTCCTCCGTGTCAGCCTCCTGGCCTCCTAAGCTGACACCGCTGGGCACTTGGCAGTCACGTCTCATGTCACTCATTTCTGTCCTTTGACGCCCACCAAGTGCTGCCGACCCCCGCGGGCCTATCACTCCCATTTCAGCTCCCTAATCTCACCACCCACAACACACCAGGACCGCCCCTGGCTTCTCTGCCCTAAGCTAGCTCCTTCCCCGCAGTGCACACTGCACTGAGAGGTGGTTGCTCTCGGCCCTGACCCGGAGTGGCTCTGCTGCTCAGACAGTACCTGAAAGCTTCACTGAGGCGCTCTCTGCAGAGCAAAACACTGCCCGACTCAGAGGAGCAGGGCTGGACTACTCGCTCGTGCCTGCTGCGGGACGTGGGCATCACTCCCTGGGTGCACAGACCCACCTCCCAAGCACCCACTGTCGAGCCCAGGACAGGCTCGTGCACGGGCTCTGGTCACAGGTGTGTGTTTTCACCTGAGGATGCACTGGACCTGCTGTCCACCCGCGTCCTGGGCATGAGCCGTCTGGGGCTGGTGGATCTCCCGCTCCTACCTCCTGGCCTCTGCTTTGCCGTCGTCCCACCGTCCTGTCTCCACCTTGAAGGGCTCTCCCACCTATTCTTCCCAGATCTTCCCCGCCCCAGGGGGCCCAGCTGGGACCTTCCCCCACCACCCACTCCCCTGACGAGGAGTCCACGCCCCCTCAGGACATCTGCACAGGTACCTTGTGCCCTCATACCACTTCTGCCTTCAGCTGTTAAAACCTTGCACGCCCAGGGTGACGGACCGTTGCTTGAGAACCACGTCAACAGCCTCACTGATGCCTACACTCCCCGCATGTCCAGCGTGGTGTGTCCAACTCTACTGTGTTTCCAGGCAGTGGCTGAGTCCCCCAAGCCCCAGCGCCACTCACCACTTTACTCTGCAAGTCTGCACGTTCCACTCCACAATGTGTTTGTCATCTGAACAGCTATACAGCAAGCTGCTGTCTGGGTGCCACTGTATGCAATTGACTCTGTTGTCATGTCCACCACTCTGCAGATTAAAAAAAAGATTAGAGGAAAAAGAAAGTATGTCTTATATGATGTCATTACCAGTTACCCGAAATGCTGGGCTTTAAAAGTCTTAACCTACACTGATCCAGTTTAGGTTTCTAATGTCAAAATGATAAACCACCTAGAACTTCAAAAAGGTAGCTATCCCTTCTCCTCTGTTTAAAGACAACCTACGTCCACTCCTTAAGTCAGCAATTGATCTTTACAGTAAAAATCCAAGCCCAGCCAAAAATATCCTTGAAACATCTCTTTAAAAGGTACCAAAGCTCTCATCACCAGGGTACCTGCATAATGAAGATTTGTATACCTAACCCTGAATTGTACCCCACATCTTTAAAATAAAAATAAATAAATAAAAGGGGGGGAAAATAGTGATCAAATTTTATTTTCATTTCTTAAAAAAAAAGGACCAAAGCTGCCTCTCAAAGAAGAAGGTGAACCCTAAATGAGTCCTCAAGTCATGAACCAGTTACACCACATAAACAGTACCTGAAACACATACACACACACAGAGCAAGGTGCCGGCTCACTGGAACACGCAGGCACAGACACAGCAGCTGCCACCTCACCAGTGCCAGGACCAGCTCGCTGGTGGGACAGACACACAGTCCCTCGCACCAGGAGCCTCTCACACCTTCCACCAGAACTCACAGAAACACACACGACGACACGGCACTGTGGACACGGCTAAGGACAGAAGTCATCTCTCAAAACCACCGAAGCCACTTCAAGGACGACTGCTCCCACTTCAAGAAAAATATGACAAGATGCTAGGTGTAATAAGTGTCCGCACTCATACCAGCTATCTACACAAAAAGCCAAGTCCTACATGCTACACAAAGAATTCACAAGGCATGTGCACACCTGCATGTAATCGAAAGGGTTTGGGAAGAACATGCCGGAATACTCAGCCTTGCCAGTGACCATTCAGGCTGCTCACCTGGCAACATGCCCAGAAGGCTTGGAACACACAGCTGGGGCACTGCCAACACACACACACACGCCTGGAGAGTGGCCTGGTCCCGCGTCCACACCCACTCACCTCCTCACTCAGCAAACAGTCACCACACACCACTTACGAGCCTGGCACATTCAGCACTTGATCGCACCTGAGAGTTGATACAGGCAAGCACACCCATGTGAGAGGGGAGGAGTCAGCCCGCCTACCCACAACCACAAAGCTTGCGGGACGCAAACGGCACAGCCGAGCTCCAGGCCTGGTCCCTGCCTGTGTCATCCCATCGTGCCACTCCTCACTGGGCAGCTTATGGAAAACAGCTCCTTTGTGAGAAATTCCCCCATCAGATGTCTTTATGCTCCTGTGCAGTCCTGCAGTGCTTTAAAAGGAGCTGGGGGCCCCATTGGCATCACGCCTACAGCCCCGGCCACTGTGCAACCACACAGGGCACAGGGACCCGCTGACCACCAAGGCCATCAAGCAAGGGCAGGCCCCCAGTCACAGTGGGCAAGGGCTCACCTGGGCAGGGCAGTGGCTCAGAAGAGAAGGAAGAGATGGGGGAAAGGGGAAAGGGAGGAGTTCAGGGAGGGTAACTGCTTGTCATACAAATCTCCAGGCGTTTTCAGGTATTTTTAGGGTGTTTTACTATTGTATAATCTTTAATATAATGAAAACAAGTAGCCAACTTCTAATGCACATTTACAATCCGATACAATTTTTCATCTACCCAATCAGCTTCTTTTTGTTCTTGCTGTTGTTGTTTTGATGGGATACTCTATTGCCAGTTGCACTGCAGAGACAGTGGTAGTGATGAAGTAAGTACAAATTAGTACAAAGCACTCACAAAGTACTCTCATATTCTGGCTAGGCACAGTGGCACATGCTTGAAATCCCAGTGCTCTGGGAGGCCTAGACAGGAGGACTGCTTGAGGGCAGGAGTTCAAGGCCAGTCTGGCAACATCGCAAGACCCCATCTCTATAAAAAAAATTTTAAAAACTAGCCAGGCATGGTAGCACACACCTGTAGTTCCAGCTTCTCAGGCAGCTGAGACAGGAGGATCATTCGAGCCTAGGAGTTCAAGGCTGTAGCGAGCTACGACTGCACCACTGCACTCCAGCCTAGGCGACAGAACAAGACCCAGTCTCCAAAAATAAACAAAAAAGAGCCCCTTTTTTGAGTAAGCACATACTTCTGGACACTCAAAGTTAACCCTCAAACCTTTTGACTCACTAATTAAGGTAGTTCTGTGGATTCATGTAGCAAAGGGAAAACATTCATTGTTTTACAACAATAAAAAAACTGAAAATCACCAAATGGTCAATAGTTCAGTAGCAAATGGACTATCCAATTTACTGGGATTTTAGGCAGTCATTAAAAATATTTATAGCCTATTCTTGACAAATATAGAAATCGCTTCTGCTGTAATTTAATGAAACCATCAGGATACAAAATAGATGGACAGAGCCCAACCATATTTTAAAAATATATCAAATAAAATATAAAAACTACAAACTACCACCAGTGAATCTCTTGATGACAGATTTAGGTCCACATTTTCCCCCTATCGACTTCATGTAGTTCCCAATTTTCTAAGGACAGACGTTCCTTAAAATGGGAAACCGTTAGGCTGGACATGGTAGTTCACACCTATAATCCCAGTACTTTGGGAGGCTGAGGTGAGGGGATTGCTGAGTCCACGGGTTCGAGACCAGCCTGGGCAACTTGGTGAGATTCCATTTCTACAATAAATCTAAAAATTAGCCAGGTGTGGTGGCAAGGGACTGTAGTTCCAGTCACCTGGAAGGCTGAGGCAGAAGATCGCCTGAGACCAGCAGGTCAAGTCTGCGGTGGCCTGGAGCATGCCACTGCCCTCCAGACTGAGTGACAAAGTGAGACTCCTACTCAAAAAGAAAAAAAGGAAAATTGTGTCATCCATTCATGCAGAAAGCACACTCCACCCAGGACCCAGGGAGCAAGACCCTACAGCAGATCCTGTCCCAGCGCCACGGCCAGTCTTCTCCACTCGGCTCTGGGATGTCGGGCACTCAGCAGACCCCATCAGATCTGCCAGCCACACCTGTGGGCTCTGTCATCAGCAGTGCTCAAGGGGGCACGGCTACAAGGGAACCAGGGTACGTTCCCCCTGTCTCCTTGTCCACATCCCCTATCAGTGGGTTTCTCCTCCCCTCCCCGTGGTGCAACTCCCTCCAGCAGCAGCGAGACCCAACATGCAACTGTTCCATGCCTTGGAGACCAGCCTCATTGCCCCCTTCAGCGATACCAGCACCAGGCAGCGAAGTCCCTCCAGAGCCTGAGGCCTAGACCCCATGCCCACAGGCCACTCCTCTGCAAGAAACAGCAACAGAGATCTCTGTTCCAGCAACCACTCCAACTGCCTCTACCGACCTTGCTTGAGAGGCGGTGACTGGCTTCCTGCAATTGCTACCTGGGGTCCCCAAGAGTTCTCACAAGCCCTTCTCAGCTTATACCTGGTCAACAAGTCTTCATACTCTGGCCCAAGAAAGGACCATGTTTCCCATCACAGCTTGTATCAAATATCACCACCCAGTTGTCTAATGCAAAAGGGAGAGAAAACTGCCCCGAAGTGCAGATGCTCGGCGTCCCTCCTGCCGTCAGCAACCCTGCCCACCCCTGACCCCACTCCATTCACTCCACAGACACTTACTACTAACTTGCTGTGCAGTTCTCCCTTGACTGTGCTGTACAATAAGATGCTACCGACTGCTGTGCCAAGGGCCAGCAAGTCAACCTGCTCACTCGTTCCTGCAGCTTCCGATTTCCTTTTTTTCCTCTGGGGACTTTCCTGGAAAAAAGGAAAACAACACTTTTTATTTAGCATTCCAAGCATTTAAACAGCACTGTGTCCAGCAAACCGTCAAGAGCCCACCAAGGACGCTTCGGTGGGGGAAGACCGGCTTCCCCCTCACTACTTTAAAGGAAAAGCCTCTGATGGGAAGAGAGGCTCCGGCCTCTCCGCCCGTCTCCCAAGCCCCGGAAGGAAGGCAGCAGAAGGAAACCCCAACAGGTCCTTGGCACTCTCCAACCAGGTCTGGGCAGGCTCGAAGCTGACTGTAGGGCTGACTGGCAGCTGTTAGCACTCAGGGTGCTGCTCTGGGACTGCCAGGGAGGTCCGTGCCGGCTCGGGGCCACTCCAGCAGTAAAGGCCACAAGGCTTCTTGGTGTGTCTCAGCATGATGCTGGTAGCCTGTGTCCATCAAACAGAGACAAGCGCAACCACAATTTGAGGGCACCACGGCAGAGTTCACAACACTGAACCTCTGCAATGATTTCAGGACTCCTTCTGTGTGTGTTTTTTTTTTTTAATCAGCGCTCACTCGCCTATATTTTAAACCCACACGATAGAAAAGGGGCCATTTTCTTAACAATGCAGCACACACACAAAAGCAGCCTAGGCAGGACACACAAAATCTGCCCAATCCAAGAACCTCCACCACCAAGCACCACGTTCCCGGCGCACAGGGAATGTCAGAGAGTCGGCCTTAAAGACACATTTTTAATTTAGTTTTCTTAGGAGATGTTACCTTTAAAGGATTTGATTCAGTGGACACAGATTTTAAAAAAGCAAGAAGACTTAACAAGAAAGGTAACTTTTTACTTACAGAAAAATACACTTTGCAAATAGTTAGAAATGTATCTCCATCATAAACTCCACAAGGAAGTTACAATTAAGAGTCAAAGTGAAAGCCTAAGGGTCTGGTCTCCTGAAACACTGAAGCCCCTCCATATTTCCCAGTTACCTTCCAAGGGGCTCACGGGCAGCCCTGACTTCAGAAGGCACAAGCGTGAGTCCCACCCCAGGTAAAGGCAGTGGGGAGTACATAAACCCACCACCACCCCTTCTGAAAACTTCTTTAAAAGAGTCCAGGAAGAGCCGGGTGATGGGCCCCACCTGCAACCCCAGCACTTTGGAAGACCAAGGGGGGAAGATCACTTGAGTCCAGGAATTCAATACCAGCCTGGGCAACACAGCAAGACTTGTCTCCACAAAAAATAAAAATAATTAGCCAGGCACAGTGGCACACGGCTGCAGTTACTTAAGAGGCTGAGGTAGAAGAATCGCCTGAGTCCAGAAGGTCAAGGTTGAGGTTAGCTGTGATCGTGCCACTGCACTCCAGCCTGGGCGACAGAGGGAGATCCCGATTCTTTAAAATAAATAAATAAATAAATAAAGGCAGCACGGGCCGGGCCTGGTGGCTCATGCCTACAATCCCAGCATTTTAAGAGGCCAAGGCAGGAGGATACCTTGAGCCTGGGCAACATAGCAAGACCGCATATCTCTACAATATATATATATATATATATATATATATATATATATATATTTTTTTTTTTTTTTTTTTTTTTTAAATTAGCTGGGCACAGTGGTGCAAACCTGCAGTCCCAGCCAATCAGGAGGCTGAGGTGGGAGGATCACCTGAGTCCAGGAGGTCGAGACTGCAGTGAGCAGTGATCATGCCACTGCACTCTAGTCTGGGTGACAGAGTGAGACCCTGACTCAAAATACAATACTTATAAGTAAAAAACTACAAAAGAGTCCAGGAAGTTCTTCTAGTCTTGGTTTCCCCAAATCAAAGTTATCTGCACTGAAGAACCTCGATGTGTGAAGCTAAGACTGGTCAGAGGCGCGCACACTGCCCGCACTGTGCCCGCAGAGGCACCACCAAGAAACTGTAAGTTCAGCGGCACAGTCGGGGCTGCATATCTCCATCTGCAAAATCGCTGTATTTCTGGCAGAAGCAAGCAGAGGCAGGTGGGAGGATACCCCAGGATTTACCCCAACTTTGAGGATCACTGGCCTAAACCCAAATAACAATCCAATTAACTAACTTAATCTCAAGGGACTATTGACTTGTATGTTTTTTAGGGTTGTTTAGTCTCTAAAAATAACTTCCCAGCCAGGCACAGTGGCTCACAACTGTAATCCTAGCACTTTGGGAGGCTGAGGCGAGAGGATTGCCTGAACCCAGGGTTTCGAGAACAGCCTGGGCAACTCGGTGAGACCTTGTCTCTACAATAAAGCAAGAAAAATTAGCCAGATGTGGTGGCACATGCCTGTAGATCCAGCTACTTGGAAGTCTGAGGCAGAAGGGTCGCCTGAGCCCAGCAGGTCAACGCGGGGGTGGCTGTGAGCATGACACTGTACTCCAGCCTGGACAACAGAGACTCTAACTCAAAAAAAAAACAAAACTCTCAGTTGGGCATGGTGGGTCACACCTGCAATCCCAGCACTTTGAGAAGCTGAGGCGAGAGGACTGCCTGAGTCCATGGGTTCGGGACCAGCCTGGGAAATGTGGCAAGACTCCACTGTCTTCACAATAAATCAAAAAATTAGCTGGGGGTGGTGGTATGTGCCTGTGGTTCCAGTTACTTGGAAGGCTGAGACAGAAGGATCCCCTGAGCCCAGCAGGTCAAGGCTTCAGTGGCCATGAGCATGCCACTGCACTCTAGCCTGGGAGACAGAGTTAGCCTTTGACTAAAAAAAATTTTTTTTAAAAAAACCAACTTCTCATGCTAGTCAGGATGGGCATGTCCCAACAGATCAGAAAGTGATGTAACCAGTACACATGTCAACAAACCTAGTAACTTAAGTATTACCTGCACTAAATATTCCTAAAACCAAGAGCTAAGTGCTCTTGACTGGATCATACAAACGCCTTGGTTGGCATTTGCTATGTGAACATGGTATTCCCAGAGCTAAATACGTCCATGTTTCCCAGAGAGTACAACACTAGAAACAACTCCATGGCATTTGAAAGCCACATGGGCCTCCCGCCACTTTCCTGGCCTCTTCACCCATCCTCTGCGGCACTCCCACCACAGGTAGCCCCCGCGTGCTCAGTGGGGCCTCTGTTCTCATGGGCCAAGCCCCCGTCTAGGCCTCATGCCCATCTTGAACACCACCCCCTTCAAGGAAACGTCCTTCTCTTAAGCCACAGGTCACACCCTGCATTACACACACAGTGAATCCGACAGTTCTTATTTCTTCTTGTACATCTTAGTCACACTCAGTTCTGTTTCCTCTGAAGGGCCTAGCACAACGCCATGTGGACACCGGTTATGCATGTAAAGTCAGGCTAAACATTTTGTTCATATTTTTGTTATTTGTAATTGGAAACCCAATTCCTACAGGCAACAGGAGTGAACGCCAACAGGATAATTTCTCAGACCAAGGAGTCTTTTCCACCATGAAGGGCAGACTGAGCTCAGCAATCAATGTCAAAATCTGTCTGGTAAAAGCTCACCAGCATTTGACCAGGAAGTCAATCAGAGGCTGGGGGCATCTGAATGGCACGCATGCGCGATCTACAAAGCAAGGAGTTGGACAGATGAGACGAAGACAGATGAGAAAGCGCAGCCAGGGATGGGAAGCCTGGATTTGACCAGAAACTCCAGACCAAGATCCCAGAATGGGAAGAGTTTCCGGAAGAGCCAGCTCACGCACGCAGAAGAGAGCAAGGATGGACAACTGGAACAAGTATCCCATTCTATTTCATTTTTCAAGGCTGTCACAGCCCATTAAATCTATTTCACAATCCACCAAGAGACCAAAATCCACTTATGAAAAATACTAACCTCTAGAGAACTGAAATTGATGCCCACATGTCCCGTTTCATCCTGTGGTCACTCTCCCTTGACATTTCCTGGCCTGTCTTAACTACCAATGCATGTGTTTCCCAGATAAGTGAACAAAATGTGTGCATTTTACATAAAACTGCATACGGCATTTGTAACAAAATGATTAAATGCTAGTGCACAGAAGCCTCTACTTCTGCCAGGGAAAGCTAATGTGCAGCCCTGATCCCCACCAGAAGTGAAAACCTGGCATGGCCTTGAGACAGAGCACCGTGCGGGAGCACAAGGGAACCCTGCTACATCCCCAAAGGATGGCACTGGGACACGTAGTGCCGTTCTCCCTAGAAACACCCTCCATGCCACCGGGTTTGCCTGGTCAACGTCTGCAATGAACTGTGTGGTCACCTGGGCTGCCGCAGAAAGCACATTTACGGCTGTTTCATACTGCGATCGGCACACGCAGAGTAGCGTAACACCTGCACTTTGATGGCTGACGCAAACGAGGTGTGTTCAGGACCCCCCAGCAGTTAGGAGGGAGGGCAGAAAAGTCAGCACAGTGCTGGCAGGTTGCTTAGCATCCAGCCTCGGTTCACACGTAAACCTGAAAAGCTCTCAAGGCAGCAGCCACCAGATCCCAGCCGTCTATATTCTTGCACTCTCCTAGAATACCTTCTTGTCACCACCAGAGGCTCGGGCCCCAGGCTCCATCAACCAAGTGGAAGGCTCAGCCCCGGAACACACACAAAAAGCCTCTAAAAACTACGATGGTACAAACGCAAAGTGCTGCCACCTCTCTGTGACTGGCGACAGGTAGCAATCTCATTTTCCTCAACACCCATGAAGGCTGCTCCCCCCGAACCCCTGTGCTAACGGACCTTTCTCCGTGGACAAGAGCTGTCATCACCATGCGGTCCTTGGGCAGCCAATTGCCAAACACTAAACCAGGTGCAGGCTGCTCTCACAAACCGGTTCCCAAGGGGGATGCAGCATTAAATGATAGAACGAGCCAACACTCAGTGGTCCACTCAGTAACAACTAACGTTTACCAAGCACATAGTCCATGCCAGGCCACACTATGCCAGTCACATACACTGCCTCATTTAATTCAGAGGGCCCTGAAGGTGGGTGGTATCAGCAGAAGTCAGAGCAATCACTACAAACAATTCCGTCTTTTCTGCCTTTAAAACCCACGTGACTTGGACGTCCT